ATAGGTGATAAAATAAACTGCTGTCAGTGGTAATGAGCCATCTGGACCTAAATCCTGTAGGAGAGGATGGAGAAGATTTAGAGAACAGGTGTTTTTACATGACAGCACCTTAAGGTGTGGACCAGAATGTGGGATCACAGCCAGATGGGATTTGTCATCTGCTGCTTCAAATAGTTATCTTAATGTAACATTTTAACCTTAACCTTCCCATTAAAGTGCCCCTATTATGGGTTAACATTCAGACCGACTCGAAAATCAAGTTTTCCCAGGTCTGTGCGCAGCAAGTGGGCGGGCAATATGCTAATGTTTCATGTTGACGTCAACATGAAACTGCTTGGGATTCGATTTAAAACTTTGCAGGATGTTTTCATTCACTTAGAGCTGTGTTACACACTGCATGAAGGGTAATTTTCAAAAATCCATAATAGGGGCACTTTAATACAATTTTGGGGTGTTTGTGAAAGACTGTATGTTCTTGATACTATGCATGTGCCAATACTTTGGTTTTTAGCATCTGGGGGAAAAATGCAGCAAAAGCAGAAACAAGCAAGCGTTTTAGCACTCTAACACTCATGTCCTCACTTTCAAGTAGTGATTTGAAGAGGTTTTTCCCATTAAAACATCAGACCGAATCAATTTACACCAATAAATCAAGCTTCAATGCTACTTGTGAATTAAAAAAAAAAAAAAATTCTAGGAAAGCTGAATCAATACAGTCGTTCACAATACTCTGCATGTTAACTTTTTTAACAGTATCAGAACATATTAACATAGTATCAAACCCGAATACCATCATCAGTAGTCCTACTTATATGTACTTGAAAACTAAAACATAATAAAAGCATTACTGATGTGAAATCATAATGAAAACAATGTACTTCACTTTAACACTATATGTAAACAAAAGGTCAATAAAACCTTTAAAAAATATAATAAATTATAACATTATTAAACTCCTGGTCACAATGTGCAATGTAGACGTGTGAAGGCAAACATGTGATATGATGCACTCCCACAGACAAGTAGTAAAATGATCAACTTATTGTCACAGGACAGATCACGTCCAAACCCATAATTCATTCATTTTTTCCATCGATAAGTCAATGATGAACTAAAGACCTGGTCATTTATTGCAACTTTCGATTAGTTTTTGTATAATTTTATGTGAACCTTTGGCTGGTTCCATGTTGTGAAGGGTGAAGACATGGAAATATTCAGCACACCGGCACCAACTTAACATGATGTATCATTTTAGGTAAATACATGAATGTGAGAATCACCAATAAATCATACACCAGACCATTCTGGCTCATAATTGGATGCATTTTCTGCATTGAGTTTTACTCCGAGTTAATGTTTTAAGTAAACCGTATCTTTACACCACAATTCAAGACATTTTAACAGTAGTTAATCAAGGTCTAGGCCACCATTTACTTTCAGCCCAGCCAGTTCATAAGGTGCAACACCTTTGGCTCTATTTTAACCTTTTACCTGTTGCTTTTTTCCTAAATGAAACGCAGATGCATACAGGTGGACTTTATGTGGTGAAGGTGACGGGAAAAGAGCATGACGTGAATATTTGCTTACCCCATTCCTCCTCTGCCACGGGGTCCTCCACGACCACCTCTGTCAAACCCACCCGCTCCTCGGCCTCCAAAGCCACCTCCACCTCCGCGCCCACGTCCACCTCTACCATCCTGGCTATATCCACCGTCCTGGCCACCATAGCCGCCTCCTCCACCACCACTCATTGGCGGGGCATCCTGGCTGTAGCCTAGAATAGAAATACAACACACTGAGATTGAAATACATCATGTCTGCCTTAAACATTCCAGCCTTGTACTGCATTAGTACTTTGAAATAACTTTTTGAGTAGATATGTAGGACTTGTTGACACCATATAGTTTATCAGCTGATGTTAAGAGCTTTTTCTAATTTATCTGTATTGGTCGATTGGAAGTATATTGACCAATGCTGGAGAACAAACTGTGCATGCTCATTTCCTCTACTTTTACATTTAGATTACATTTGTTGTCATATAAAGGCTGGAATACACCACACGACTTTGGCCCAGATTTTTTTGCCCCGAATTATAGTTTGCATATTTGAGTTGACAGATTTAACAGAAAATCACACAGTATATGATGGCCACAGACTCTTGTTTTTTTTTTCAGTCCATGATTCTATCCAGTCAGAAGATATTAAACATGGTTGATATTTTGAGCTGACTGTAGTACACATTTTGTAACAAGATGCACATTTTTATGCGAGTTTGTGTTTAGAACGACTTGAAAATCTGGTAGTGTGAGATCCTCAAAGTCGGCAAGAGTACGATGCCTTGTGATTTAAAATTGTTCAGATTGTAAAAGTTGTGTTATGTATCCAGTCTTAACGCTTACTTAAAGTATATCTTTAAAAACACTAATAATTTAATAGCACTCTTAAGGCTGGGACACACCAAGCCGACGGTCGGGCGTCGGTTGGGATAGTTTGTTTGTTTGTTTGTTTGGTGTGTTCCACTCGTCGGTTCTCGTTGGGCTCACGTCAGTGGCAGTTTGCCCGATTCAACATGTTGAATCAGTGTTGGGGCCGTCGGCACGAGTGAGAACTCTGATTGGATGTTCGGTTTAGCGAATGAGTGCAGGAGAATTAAAGCGAAAGTGATGAAAACTAGTAAGTAAATGAAGGCGGCACAGACACAAGGCTATTCTAATGTTACGTGGTCTTTCACAAGCATTCCAATATGCGAATATTTTCATAACAACATGAGCCGCTTAAAATTATGAAGTTATCAATGTTACTGATATTCAAAATGATAACCAAGCACTGCTTTGTTTATGTTTTGTATATCTGCGTTTATTTCGTATATCTTTGTTTCGGTTTCTTCTTTTGAATGACGAATATTTACTATTGATAGCTGCTGATATAGACAGCTAACTCCTCTCACGCAGGTGCAGAACGCATATGTTAGTTTGCAGTCATCTGTAGTTTGAGCAGTGTGTGCAAGTGCAGCTTTTTGGTCCGACGCCACCGACAACACAGTCAGCTTTCGTCGCCACTAGTTCTTTGAAGTCGGCTTGGTGTGTCCCGGCCTTTAAAGGTATAATTCACCCAAGAATGAAAACTCTGTCATTAATTACTCACCCTCATGTCGTTCCAAACCCGTAAGACCTTTGTTCATCTTCGGAACACAAATTAGATGTTTTGATTAAATCTGAGAGCTTTCTGACCCTGCATAGACAGCAACAGAACTGACACGTTCAAGGCACAGAAAGGTAGTAAGGACATCGTTAAAACAGTCTATGTGACATCAGTGGTTAAACATCGTCATGCGCTGTGGTGCTCTCGTGAACGTGCGTCGAAGACTGACACAGAAGAGAAGAAATTGTTGAATAAAGTCATTATTTTTGTTTTCTTTGCACACAAAAAGTATTCCCGTAGTTTCATAAAATTAAGGATGAACCACTGAAGTCACATAGACTATTTTAATGATGTCTTTACTACCTTTCTGGGTCTTGAACATGGTAGTTACATTGCTGTCTATGGAGGGTCAGAAAGCTCTTGGATTTCATCAAAATATTTTAATTTGTGTTCCAAAGATGAATGAAAGTCTTACGGGTTTGGAACGACACGAGTGCGAGTAATTAACCCTTTAATGCCGTGAAAAACAGCATCGTCATGCGCTGTGGTGCTCTCGTGAACGTGCGTCGAAGACTGACACAGAAGAGAAGAAATTGTTGAATAAAGTCATTATTTTTGTTTTCTTTGTGCACAAAAAGTATTCTCGTAGTTTCATAAAATTAAGGATGAACCACTGAAGTCACATGGACTATTTTAATGATGTCTTTTCTACCTTTCTGGGTCTTGAACATGGTAGTTACGTTGCTGTCTATGCAGGGTCAGAAAGCTCTTGGATTTCATCAAAATATTTTAATTTGTGTTCCAAAGATGAATGAAAGTCTTACGGGTTTGGAACGACACGAGTGTGAGTAATTAACGACAGAATTTTCATTTCTGGGTGAACTATCCCTTTAAATGGAATATTTAGAAATTGAATGGAATTATAGTAATTAAATTGAATATTTATAAATATTAATTTTTTTATCCTGTTTATTATAATGTTATGATGCCTAAATACACTCGTTTTGACTTATTTTAGTCTTTATGTGTTTCATTTTTTATTTTAGACAAAATACTACAGAACCAAATTTCTTTTTTTGTTTGTTTGTTTTTTTCTATTTAATAGTCAATAAGGTCTGTGCTTAGAATTACTTTAGTTCTACAACATAAACAAATGAAGCAAATATTTAAGCCAAGTTGAGTTGCTTGTTAACAAGTTTCTAAAAAAGAAAAATGCCAATTCTATTCTTAAGTTTTGAACTACAAACTGAACAGCTCTATTTCCTATTACCATCAAATTCTATATGACAACGATTCTATATGCCGAACGAATCTCTCAAGCTCACCTCCCTGTCCGTACTGATTTTGTTGCCCATAGTTTTGAGCTGGAGGAGAGCTGTAGTTGGGAGATTGGTTGTAAGGCCCTCCTCCATGCTGAGTGGACTGGTGTTGCCCCCCGCTACCCCCGTATCCACTGCTCTGTCCTCCACTGCCCCCGTATCCTCCAGACTGACCCCCACCCTGCTGCTGCTGACCGTAGCCAGATGACTGCGAGCTGCTGCCATAGCTGCTGAAACACAAAATGGGTTTAACATATTCTACTCAATATCATCACATTCTGTTCACTAAAAAAACATTGAGCACAAGTATTATCTTTAACAAAACTAGCTTTAGACACATTGACATCCAGCTGAAATCTCACCTAGAGGCAGATGGAGGAGCAGACTGCTGCTGGTTATAGCTCGAATAAGAGGATTGCTGGTTGTAGCCTCCACTTTGAGCTGGAGGAGGCTGGCTGCTGTTACTGTAGCCTCCAGAGCTGTATGACTGACTGGACTACAAACTGAACAGCTCTACTTCCTATTACCATCAAATTCTATATGACAACGATTCTATATGCCGAACGAATCTCTCAGGCTCACCTCCCTGTCCGTACTGATTTTGTTGCCCATAGTTTTGAGCTGGAGGAGAGCTGTAGTTGGGAGATTGGTTGTAAGGCCCTCCTCCATGCTGAGAGGACTGGTGTTGCCCCCCGCTACCCCCGTATCCACTGCTCTGTCCTCCACTGCCCCCGTATCCTCCAGACTGACCCCCACCCTGCTGCTGCTGACCGTAGCCAGATGACTGCGAGCTGCTGCCATAGCTGCTGAAACACAAAATGGGTTTAACATATTCTACTCAATATCATCACATTCTGTTCACTAAAAAAACATTGAGCACAAGTATTATCTTTAACAAAACTAGCTTTAGACACATTGACATCCAGCTGAAATCTCACCTAGAGGCAGATGGAGGAGCAGACTGCTGCTGGTTATAGCTCGAATAAGAGGATTGCTGGTTGTAGCCTCCACTTTGAGCTGGAGGAGGCTGGCTGCTGTTACTGTAGCCTCCAGAGCTGTATGACTGACTGGACTGATTATAGCCCTGAGAGGGCGGCTGAGACCCATATCCTCCTATAAAACGACAAGGATTTAAATATGATAGCAAAAGATGGCCTATTCACAATATTTTCAGTTTAATTAGAGGCATTAATGAATAATACCTGATTGGGACTGTCCATAGCTGGAACTATATCCACCCTGATTATTAGCAGAGCTGCTCTCTGAGTTTTGGTTGTATCCTCCATAGCTCTGCTGGCTGTAATTTTGGCCTGAGGGTTGACTGTAACTCTGGTTGGACTGTCCTCCATAACCACCGTAACTGGGCACAACACAATGAAATTATTATTTTAACCATAAACGTGAGCAATCGTTAAATATTATGATAACACTTTGGGAAGGAGGCTTTAAACTTACCCATGGCTTGAGGTTTGGGCATAATCTAAAGGGGAAAGACAACGTTCATTATAGATGGTGGCTGTTTTTGGTAATTTATAAGTATTTGCAAGATCAAAAATCAGTCTACGTTGGCCTTTGGAAGATTATAGTTCACAACAAAATGAATTGTCATTATTTATTCCCCCATGTCATTCTAAACCTATATGGCCGTCTTCTGTGAAACACAAATAAGATGTTTGTTTGTTTGTTTTTTGGTCCATACAACAGATGTCAATGGTAACAGAATTTTTTGGATGAACTAACGTTATCCCCTTAATACAAGTAAACAAGCTCCCGTTTCTTAAAAGAATAACCGTCTCACTCACATAATTCATTAATGGTAATGGAAGCGTTCCAGTTTTGCCGCGTCAAGTGTATATGGGGTGTGGAGAACGCCAGATAGACCTAATTAATCATATGTAACATTATTAATTTATTGAAACTGAATTTAAATCGATGTACAGTGGGTTCGGTGCAAATATAGGTCAGCAGAACAAGCCAGTTAAAACTGAAAGCGCTGCAAACAAAATGGCGGATGCCGACATGTTCTTCCGTTTTTCTTTTTCACAAATTACGTTCATTATAGATGGTGGCTGTTTTTGGTAATTTATAAGTATTTGCAAGATCAAAAATCAGTCTACGTTGGCCTTTGGAAGATTATAGTTCACAACAAAATGAATTGTCATTATTTATTCCCCCATGTCATTCTAAACCTATATGGCCGTCTTCTGTGAAACACAAATAAGATGTTTGTTTGTTTGTTTTTTGGTCCATACAACAGATGTCAATGGTAACAGAATTTTTTGGATGAACTAACGTTATCTCCTTAATACAAGTAAACAAGCTCCCGTTTCTTAAAAGAATAACCGTCTCACTCACATAATTCATTAATGGTAATGGAAGCGTTCCAGTTTTGTCGCGTCAAGTGTATATGGGGTGTGGAGAACGCCAGATAGACCTAATTAATCATATGTAACATTATTAATTTATTGAAACTGAATTTAAATCGATGTACAGTGGGTTCGGTGCAAATATAGGTCAGCAGAACAAGCCAGTTAAAACTGAAAGCGCTGCAAACAAAATGGCGGATGCCGACATGTTCTTCCGTTTTTCTTTTTCACAAATTAAACCATAAATGTATCAAATACGTCTATCGCTTGTGTAACATGTACAAAACATCACTAAATGTCCTCACCACGCGCGAGTGACCCAAAAAGAAGATTTGCGGAAAATTGCGAGGTGCGTTTTGCATCAGATGCTGTGTTTAGGCAATGTCAATAGCGACTATAATAAAACGCGAAATCATATTGCACTGAACAAATCTTACCATTTGACGCCATAATCGCGCTTGAAATCGTTTTAGAAGCTTATGCAGAAGACCAGTTTGAGCAATGTCGCACAGTCACCTTCGGTTACCAACATTAACTGCGCGGAGGCTGACGCTGTTGTGTCGGTTTGAGCCTGTAGCCTGTAGTGATGTCACACTACCATCCATTCGGTTTTGGATGTTTACAGAACATTTAGACTACCATTATACAGTAAACGCGTGCAATTACACATTTAAAACCACTTGAAATCCAGACTTAAAGATGAAATATGTATAAGAAATCAACCCTATATGGTATGCATTATGTTCTATGCATGAATTTTGTTTTTTTATTTTCAAAATACATTTTTATTACATGAAATAATTTCAATTATACAAATCAAAACAGTTTTTGGGGGGTGTTTAGGATAACGTTGTCATATGGCAACAGTGTAGGCCTACCACAATGGAAAATGGCCAAAAAAGTAGTTTTTCTATTAAATTATGATTTTTCTTTTTATTTGAAATGCACATTTCTTTTAGAAATTGATGCACCCGATCTTCATTTCCATCCAAATCTGCCACACACACACACACATACAGACAGATACACATGCACACACACACTCATCGTTACAGTCAATGAAGGTTAACTCATCCTCATTGTCATCACATGGAAGAGCCAACTCTCTTCCTATTGCCCTTTCCGTGAAATATTGCTCTATTCATTTTCTGAAAAGAATAAATAATTTTCTTATTCATACATAAATACAACTATACTTCAATAAACACTTCAAATAAATAAATAACTGCAATCATTACAGTAAAACTATGTTAAACAATGTTGATTTGTGAATAAAAATTACTAACCAAGATATAAAAAAATATATATAAAAAATCCCCCTTGAGAAGAGATGTTCAGAAATTAGGTTAACGGAGCAATTTCTGGAGCACTTCAACAGGTGTCCTCCATGTGAGAGTGACTGTGGGAAAAAGTGTTTTGGAGGAACACTCAAATGTCATTTGACTTAAAAACAGCACATCATTGACTACCTTAAGGCCAGCCCTTTTAATTACCATATTGCAATATATTGTATTTTTTTTTATTTATTTTTTTTTCAGAATAACAAGGAAATAAGTAGAAATTAATTGTTGTCATATGGCAACTCTGTACCTTAGAGGGTTAAATCTTTAGGTATGTGTGAGTCCCAAATAGTATATGATGCTAAATGTCTAAATGTAAATGTAAATGTAAATGATGCATTTAAAAAAAAAAAAAATCATTACAGTAAAACTATGTTAAACAATGTTGATTTGTGAATAAAAATTACTAACCAAGATATAAAAAAATATATATAAAAAATCCCCCTTGAGAAGAGATGTTCAGAAATTAGGTTAACGGAGCAATTTCTGGAGCACTTCAACAGGTGTCCTCCATGTGAGAGTGACAGTGGGAAAAAGTGTTTTGGAGGAACACTCAAATGTCATTTGACTTAAAAACAGCACATCATTGACTACCTTAAGGCCAGCCCTTTTAATTACCATATTGCAATATATTGTATTTTTTTCAGAATAACAAGGAAATAAGTAGAAATTAATTGTTGCCATATGGCAACTCCGTACCATAGAGGGTTCATCCCTTTTTAAACACTCTTTAGAGCTGCTTTATGTGTTTAACAAAATACATTCTGATTCTGGTTTTAATTCTATTTCCGCAGAAGCACATTCTGTCTTGGGCAGCAGGTGGCAGTATAATCTCACTTACAGGTTCTTGGGTTTAGCCATACTGTACTTCACTCATGCAGGTAATATTTTGGTACCTACAATGGCATTACATTCTAAATGGGGGGGACAATAAATGTATCCTATTACAAATACACATTCCCCTGTTTATCTGTGGGTGTGAAACAAACCTACGTTTTTTGTAATCATTCTGTGTATATTCGCAATTTCGCCTATGTATAAAGTAAAAGCTCAAAGCACTTTGCAATGGTTATAACTGTGCATTCTAAAAATAATAAACATCAATAAATAAAAACACAGCAAAAGGGAAAACACAGGTAGCATTCTAATTTAATATAAATCTTAGAATTATTTAAGAAGTTACAATACTGTTACTGAATGCATGAGTGAAAGCAGTGGAACACACAAAGCTGTAATGTGCAATATTATGACTTATGCAATCAAATCAATTTGATTTTTCATTACAAATAATCAATACAAGAAATACAAAATGATATTGTATTTATCCTGTTAAATAGAATATTGGCATTTTACAGTGTTCTGAGGTCTTGGTGACATTACTGCATAACTGCATAAAAGAAATCTAATTCACAGTAACAACAGTATATAGATCTGTGCTTAGGAAGGATCAGATAGCCAGATCTCTCCATCATAAACATGTCACATATTACATTATTATTAAAAAAATAATAATAATTTGCAATACCTCTGAAGCTTTGCACTGGGTACATTTTGTGCCCCACAAAAGCATTCCAAACATGGCAAATCAATGCCACACAAACAAAACTTGCGGTGTTTCAAAACTTGACTTTGTGTTTCACATGTACATTGCATATACTTAACTAATATACTATCTCCACAAAAGTACTAATGCAAAAGAGAGGCCTAGAACCAGAAGCGTTTGACTTTCACTCTTCTGAGCGTGACCGAAAAAGTGAGCTTCTGGAACTGTGGTGCGGATGAGGCTCGCGAAGCTTGAGACTCTGGAATAAATACCTGGCCGGTTCTTCTGAGCACACCCAAGTCCAAAACTTACAACTCCCACTTGAATCCAAGTCCCACTGCCACCAGAACAAACCAGAGGGCCTCCAGAGTCCCCCTGTAAGGGACAAAAAAAATGTCTACATGGTAGGATAAGTCAGTACAATGGCTGTGTGCTAGTATCACATACCTGACAGGAATCCTTGCCTCCCTCCATGTATCCAGCACAGATCATGTCTGATAAGATGTTGACTGTTATTAAATCAGATGACAAAATCTGATACATTGACTGGCAGGAGGACTGGTTGATAATGGGCGCCTGCACTTCCCGTAGCGCCCCGACTCCCCCGAGGGAAACTATTTAAAGAAAAAACAGAGCAAACGCGAAATACAAATAATTACCAAATGTCCAAAACATTGTTAAACTAACATAACATAAAATAGGGAATAGATCTGTGATAAGCTAGAAGGCTTTGTCTGGACATTGTTTTTTCTTTTGTCGAATGATCGCTATATCATATATGTATTTGCTACTGACAGAAAGCAGTCTTATCTTTTATCTATCAATAAATTGATCTTTATCACAATTTGTCTATGTGTACTGCGTTAAGCTAACTGAGACTTGTTATAGCACTTGTATATCATATTGCTCTTTTGTTGATTTTGATTGCTTCCATTGTCCTCATTTGTAAGTCGCTTTGGATAAAAGCGTCTGCTAAATGACTAAATGTAAATGTAATGTAATGTAAATCTATCATTTCCATGTCAAATCATTTTTATCTTTTCCATGCAGCAGCAATGGGTTATTTGCATAAATGCAAGGCATCAGGAAACTTTTTTTCCTCTCTGGAGGACAATAAATAAATCTTCTGGATCTTATATTATGCTCTGGATTGATTTCAGAGATGTTGCAAGGTGTCGACATTCTGACGTGTTGTCGAATATACTGTTCATACAAAATTTCTATTACGATTAGGATGTTTGAGGGTCAATTTGACCTGCCTATTTCATCCTTGAAGGCAGCTGTATAGACTGTAAATAGAAACGTTTTTATGTATTTCGTAATGTCAGCGTCTCAACTACCTTCTGAGGATATTTACATTTATACATATGGCAGCTGAAGAAACTTGCACGATACATTTTTATCAGTTAACGTGTGTTCAGTTAGCTGGAAACTGAACCCATGATTTTGGTGTTGCCAACAACATGCTCTACTGTTTGAGCTTCAGGAAGAGACACAGAAATGTTTTAAAGGGATGGTTCACTGGGTTTTTTCTAGGATTGATTGTGTTTATGGGGTGCAGTCTAACATGTGTTAATGCTTAGTTTAAAAAAAACGCATTATTTTTCACATAATTTACCTTTATTCCACACTGCTCTGTCCCTTCTCTGAGAAACGGGCTGATCTTTTCCTGTTTTTATGAAGCCCCGCCCTCAGAAATAGGTGATGGGCTCTGATTGGTTAGCTAGCCCAGTGTGTTGTGATTGTCTAAACCGCCTAATGCGTGTCTAAATGTCCCGCCCCTCACCTCGGCGGCATGTGCTCCGGTTGTATTGTAAACAACGGCGTCATTAATATCAGTTTGAGCCCGATTTAGAAGCAGAGGATATTATTGAAGAGGATCGTGCAGAACCTGTGCAAGCATGGCTTTTAATGGTAGGCCTATGTTTTTTGTTTGTTGTTGTCTCATACTTTTAGATATGCTGTTATTTGTAAATGCTACTGCTTATGTTAGCTTTTAATATACGGTTTTATCCTGATTAAAGCTTTAATACAGTACGGCAACTGCACGCGCGTCCATGCCCCTTTAAAACAGCTACAATACGGTTTATAATATTTACATTTATAATATTTACATTTTTAAAAAAAAGTACAAATTATTTCTAAATACAGTTTTAAAGACAGTTTTTTTCGTAATAGGTGGGAAGTATTATTGTTCAAGATTTGCTGTTTTTTTTTGTGCAGATTTTTTGTTTAGTTTGATTTTCATAGTGTGATTTTTGGTCAGTTTGACCCAACCCTAAAGATCTTCACCAGATTTGGAACCTACTGTTATACAAGTAGAAAAAAAAAAAATCAATAGTTCAGTGAAATAAATGTGCTCTACTCGTTCCTCTTGCTTTTTAACTATTTCTCCTCCTCCTACCACTACAGAAATGAAACGGAAATCCACTCCAAAGAAAGAAATCCACATCCTTTGGCATGACTTTAAACAGTAAAATCGGTTAGTTTCCCCTTATTTCTTTTATGATGCACTTACCACCCTCCTGAGTGTGTCCCCAGCCCGTGACGTAGCATAAGGTTCCACTTTTGAACTGGAATCCAGCATATGGCAGACACACAGGCTGGATCCTGTCTGACCAGGTGACCGGAGAGCGCAGCTGCACTAAGGCTACATCTTTGCCCTCCTGAGGGGTCGAGTATCCTTCTGGAACGACCACTCGCTGCACCTGACTG